TTTATTCCGAAGGTCTTGTGCATGTGACATTCAAAGGTCAGCTACTTTCATTCTTGTTTGGCCCCTGCTTGTGTTGAATTTCAGCCAGCAAGCCTCCAGCATACAGGAGAATTTGAGATTTTTCTCCCTCCCCCATTTCTTCTGTTTTTGTTCCATGTAAACAGTTTCTGCTGTAGTAACATAGACAAATATAGCAGAGAATGCTTTTCTGGGAGATAGACGCTCCCTAAGCATTTTTTAACCATTTTTGGGAAGAATTGATCTTTCTGTGTGTTTCAGACAGACTAAAAGAGGGGGAGGCTGTCGCTATAAATTGAAGTGACATCATATGTGTTGCCCCCATTGATCTGCATTTAGTCTCCAGCCAGGATAAAAGGAAATAGCATCAGGGAGGAAGCATGCTTCATTTAGGCACAGATCCCAGAGTGATAATGGGGTAATAATAGAACTCACGCCACCGTCAATCGAAGGCTGCATTAGTCCCGAGCTCATTCTCTCTGGGAGCCGCACAGCGCCTGGCCTCGAGTGTGTGCAGCTGTGGTGCACCAGCTGGGCCGCAGAGGAGGTGCCCTCGGCTTTCAACAGGGTACAGGCTGTGGGGCTAGGATTGTGGTGTGAGCTGGTCCCTCTTTACAGACCTTGCCTATGGAAGCTCAGTTCTGAGGTGTGTCCGTGGAGTGTCTGACCCAGGAGGTGAGCTGGCCTGCGTGTGGTGCTAATGGAAGAGCTGTGGAGGGCCTCAGTTGTGTGGGTGGTCTACTGGGAGCTGGGATGAGTGATGCCCCATGACAGCGGTGAGAGGCTTCTGGAAGAGTTAGGATTTGTTTTCTTTGTATTGCTTGTAGGTTAAGAGGGTGGGTTTGGAAAATTCATATTTTCTTTCCAAGAGTCTATAAAAACTTTTTAAAACTATTCAAAGTTGTGCAGCTTGTCTCAACTCTTTAAGTTGACTGGGAAAAATAGAAGTCGACGTTTTTGTCTGTGCACGTCTCAGTAATTAACAACTGTGAAATCTTCCGTGTTTACGGCAAGAATACAGACTTCTGAAATCCTTAACAAGTAGCATTTGTACTTGACTGACCGCCTTTAGCAGTTTGCTTCGTGCATTCATTTGAGTGAGTTTTACAGTCCTGTGTAGTTCTCTTTCAAGTACCCACATGACTTTGGCACCCCATAGTCTTATTTTGTCTAAGTTTCCATGGCAGATGCATTTTTAAAATACTGAGCTGGTCTCCATATGGAAAAGATAATCACCCCATCATGAATTCCTTGTTTGTGCAAAGAAAGGAAGGACCTTTATTTTTGTCACTGTTGAACTTGGGCTCAAACACTGTTAGTTCTCCAGAAATAAAGCCAGGTTCATTCCATAATGTCTAAGGGCCCTGCTTTCTTAGGAGATAATGCTGAGACTTACTTTATTTTTCTCCATCCCACTGTGCAGTTAGAGCTGTGTCCGTCTCCTGGAGTACTGCTGTACTCAAACCCAGTTGGCCTAGAAGTCATGTGAGACTGAATTTGATTTCTGCGTGGGTGGGAGTGGAATGAGCCACATAGCATTTCCCTTGCCCCTGTGCCAGCTGCCAGGGTGGGTCCCTCCCAGGACTGCCTCTGAGCACAGATGCTGGTGTGTGAGATCTTCCAGTTGCTTTGCAAACATTTTGGCTTTTTCATGCTCATCCCTTTTCAACGTTGGGTGGCTTTACAGGGAGCAAATGTTTATTTTAGAAAAAGAAATTTACTGTATTAAAATCCTCTTTTCAAGGTCTATAAAAAAAATGATGTCATTTTTACTTGTGAATGAAAGAAGCTGAATTGGTTTTATTGAGGGGGTCTAAAACAGCTTTAGGTCATCAGTTGTCTACTTTTTCCGTTGTTTAGAAGCCACATTTCCCTGCAAATTAGTAACAGTTGAGAACCGGGTTGTTTATAAGTGAGTCATTTCTGCAGGTGAGTGGGGGCTGCAGTCCCGGGAGGGCGGTGTGGGGCAGGCACTGTGGAGGCTGCTTCCCAAGCCTGGGCCGTTCCTGCAGCATTCTGAACACGCTGGCTCTTGCAGCAGTGTGTCTTGGCGCCTTATTAAAGGATAAGCAGACACCCGAAGAGGGTGTCACCCTTGTTCTGTTCCTCCCTCCAGTTAGTCAGTCCAACTGCAGTCAAACCCTGCAGGTTTGAGTGTGCGGGTCCTCCTCCCTTCCGTTTTAAGTCAGGAGGCATAGCTTTAAATATTTCCATTGCACAAAATTTGGAAACAAAAGCTTCCAGTGACCCTTTCATTTCTATTTCAGTGCACAGGTGTGTGAACTTTGTGCTTGGAGGGAAACTTCGAGATACCAGAGTGTGAATCCAGGCATTTTGATGGATTTGTATATGAGCAGTCCTTTGATTTTTAAACTGGAGTTGTGTTACTGGTTGAACTTAGTTGGAGTAAGTCAAGGCCAGTTGTCTTACTCAGGGACTCTTTTGTTCTGTGGGTCTTTAGTTTAAACCAAGTCCCAAATTGAGCTCTAACAATAGACCTCATTGTAAGCACAGGCACATAATAGGGAGATGCTTTTCTGCTCTTTCCTTCTCTGTAATTCTGCAAATTGGCAGGGCTGGTTCCTGCTGTATTTAGTTAGCAAACACCGCCAGATCCCAGTGATGGGTGTTCTCTGCCGGATCAGGCCTGTTAGTGCCGAGAGCTGATCCTGTGGGCTGGCCCCTTCCCAGGGTCCTGCCTGTGTGTCTGGGGAGGCCTTAACACCCAGCACTCTCCCTCTCAGTGGCTGCCTTTGGAAATGCTGCTTATTGGCTGTGGCAGTGGCTGTCAGGTGCAGGCAGGCTGGGCCTCTTTCATTCAGTCTGGCTTTCTCTGGCCCCCTCACCTCCAGCCTTTGCATAGGGAGGTGGGCTGCTTCTATAAGGGGTCTTAGGCCAGGCCATAGTGGGACACTTCAGCGACAGAACCAGAAGCCATGGAGTGGGTTGAGGAGGGCCTCACACGGGAGAAAGGGAGGCTTTGCAGAGGGTGCACTGCAGGAAGGCTGGGGCCTGGCCTCCGGAGGACAGCCCCGACCCCACCCCAGCCAGGGCTGAAGGTCCAGGTTCTGGCTCAGCCTCCTGTGGGACATAGAAAGTTGCTGTCGGGTTTGGTGGGTGCGGGGAGGAGAGGAGAGCCAAGGGCTATGCTAGAGGATCTGGAGCCCCAACAGGAAGGAAGGAGAAGCCAGGCAGAGGACAGCACCAGCTGGGCTCCGGGGCAGGGAGTCGAGGCTTCCTCGCAGGCCTCTTTTGGTATTACAGAAGTAGCCTGTTATCCAAGCCTATAGGAAATGGCAGGCTGATGTTCGTGTTATTAGTAGTTATGCAGTAACTTAATCGTTAAAGCATCTTACAGGCGTGTGAATTCTCAAGAAAGGAAGTGCTAGTCCTTCTTGGAGTCCTTGTGTTGGACCTCACAGGTCAGTGCTAATCATAATGTGATTTTGCCAAAGACACCTGACTTCCCCGTCATAGCCCATGGCACGGTGATGGATGGAGTGGTCTCCCAAAGCCAGTACCCTTGGGAGCAGAGGAAGGTGCCTCTGCTGCCCTCTGTGGGGAGTGGAGTCATTAGAACTTAGACGGGTGGGGAGAGGAAGTGCGGGAAACGACTTTCTTTGTGACATGATGTGCTGATCCTTTGCGTGCTTCATACTTGCCTGCTCATTTTAGGAGAGAGCGAGTGTGCATGTGTGAGAGGGTGGGGAGGGCAGAGTGCACACTTAGGGACAAGAAGAAAACGAGGGGTGGAGAGAGAAGCAAGTGATTTTTTAAAATTTCTTTTGAGTAATAGAAAGTGATATTTAAAATCCAGGTGTTCTTATGAATATTCTCTGATCCAGTAGTGGCTTCCACGTTTGTAAATTTTGGCTTGTTAACAGGATTTTGTGGGCACAAGCAGGGGTTGGAGAGAAGCTCAAAGTGTAGAGAGTAGTGGATTCATGGTGGTGACTTAAGCCTTGATTTTAGAATAAGCATTTTCAGTTCCTGCAAGGTGTACCTGCTGCTTGTTGGTTTTTCTCCCTCGGTGCGTGCCGGGCCCATCCAGTGGTGCCCACAGGTGCTGTCTCACACACTCAGCTTGCGGGTTCCCCAAGTTTTCTTTTTTTAACCTCATAAAGACTGCATTCTCTTTCACCCTTACTGGGATGGTCGCCGGCCTGTCCTGTGGGAAAATTCAGGAACGGGGTGATTTTGTGTGCATGTGCATCACTGTGTGCAGCCTTTTAAAAAATGTTGTATGTTATGAATGTAGAGTTGTATAATGCAGGGATTATGAGATGCTGTGATTGTTTTTATCATATGCTCTTTATTTCTCAGTGTGCACCAGGTATGTTTGCAGAGTTTATGTGGCTCAAAAGGAAATCTGAAACTGCTTCTTATTTCTGTTAAGCTTCCATGTGTTCGCCTCACGTTCTTCTTGAATCTCTTTCTGGGCTGAATGACATGTTGTTGGCATATGCTTGCCATAAATACACAGATCTCATAAAACAAAATAATATTTTATTAAGATAACTTTTTTCCCTTTTGGGGGGCGTGTCACTGGGGATTGAACTCAGGGGTGCTCCACCATTGAGCTACATCATCCTCAGTTCTTTTTATTTATTTATTTTTAAAGATAGGATCTTGCTAAGTTGTGGAGGCTAGTCTGGAACTTAAAATCCTCTTGCCTCGGTCTTCTGAATAGCTGGAATCACATGTGTACAGAATAGCACCCAGCTGATAAGTATCGTTTTGATGGACTCGTAAGTCTGTACCTGATATGGAAAGCCACCGAAACATAGCTTTGTTAGACCTCAGAGCGCATTGTCTTAGGGGATGCAGATGAGGTAAGCTTTGAGGTTTGACCAGAGTCAGTCCCACCGTCTTCCTGAGTTTCAGACACAAGCTGAGAGTACTGCCATCCTTGTTCTGAGCATGGGGTTTGATATATTGTTGGCGGAATGGCATGTTCATAGTCTGTTCTGTTTTGCCCTCAGCTCCTTCCAGACCAGCTGGTCTTGCTTCTAGAGCATCTCTTGGAGCAGAAGACTTTGAAGCCCCAAACTCTGCAGAGCCTCCAGAGGACATACCGCCTCCAGGAGCAGGATGCAGAGGTAACCAGAGATTTCAACAGCAGATCCCTGCTGATGGGGATGGAGGGTGCCAACCTCATGGCAGTTGGTCCCAAGCCATTGAAGGCACCATTTCGTCAGCAGGGGGAAGAACAGGGGCCTGAAGCCAAGAGGAACTGCCCCCGCGCTGAGCTTGTTGCAGCAGGACCCTCTGGTCATACTCGTGCCTATCGCCAAAGTATTTTGAAGTCCTAGGTTTCCCTCCCTACTTCTTAAATAATAAAAGCAGACATAAGTCTTAAAAGAATGAGCAGTCAGGGTGGGGTGTTTTTGAATCTGAGCTAGACGGGTCATCTTGTGTACTGATGGTGGCGCCGTCCTGTTGCACATTAAGGAAACTTGGCTCAGATGTGTCCAAGTGTCTTGCTTGTGTTCAGTTAGGACAGGAAAGGAGCCATGTGGAAAGGAAATGAAAACTGAATCTAGCAGCCATGATTTAAAAAGTAAATTGGATGCTTGTGGGAAAGTAGTGTGATGTGGTCCTTAAAATCTTTTAGCTCAATGGGAAGAATGCAATAGGAATCCTAAAATGAATTCCAGGTTTTAAAAACATAAAATAAATATTATTTGTGCATAGTCATCTGAAGTGAAACACAGATCTCAAAGAGAAGAGCTCTTCTCTGTAAAATTCTAAATGCAGAAAATGCAAGCAAATTTGGTTTGCATTCAGTTGGAAATAACTGAACTTCAGCACCCTACAGTTCAGAACACCTGTGGCCCTTGAGCTGGAAATGTAGCTGTTTTGAGATTTGTTGCAACTGTAAGATATTGAAGACATTGTATGAAAAGCAAAATATCTCATTTTCTCCATATTTGTTACAGTGTATTTCTTGGAATGATATTTTAGATATGTTGGGTTGAATGGAATATTAACATTATATTTCATTAAAATGGAGCAGATTGATACTCCCAAGTTCTTACTAATTCAAAGGTCAGATGGACATCCTCCTTGTGCATTTTAAAGCTCCATAAATTTAGGAGTAATTGCAAGACTGCAAAGAAGACGTGTCGCTGCTTTTTACCCACCTGAGGATAGGTCAGAAGTGCAACTGTTGCTGTTTATTTCAGCTCTAGAGTTTTGTTTATAGGAGTGTCTAAATGCCAGGCTGTTATTTTTAATTAGTGTTTAAAAGACCTTCCTATTTATAGGCATTAGACTGTGTTTTAATGGGAGTTGAACACCAGTGGAATGTCAGACTCCTGCGCAGGCCTGCACAGACTGGGGCACGAGGGCCAGACAGCCGTTGGGCACCTGTCCCTCCATGCCCGGAAGCCACGAGGTGCTAGACCCTATTTTCCCTCTTCCTTTTGGCATGAGACACATCCTGCTCTTAACTTACTACCCAATTTAGTTGTTATATATAACCTCTTAAGCCCTTGAGAAGGACAACAGGTTTTATCTAGTCACTTGATTTACATCTCTCAAACTATATCATGTTGCCCAAAGATGGAGCTCTCTCTTATTTAGATCCCTGGTTCCAAGAGACAGGTCTGGGTGCAGCGTGGCTCAGCGTGTGACTCGTGTGGTCCGTGCTTGTGTAGCTCACACGTGTTCTCTAGGGACAGGAACAGAGCAGTTTGTGCACAGATGAGGCGCTTGAAATTCCTCTGACTTCCCAGAGTGAACAGGGGGTGCACAGGTGAAGTTGGGCCAGGTTTCTCTAGACAGTGCTCAGGAAAGGACACTCAGAGATGACATCAAGCCAGGACCTAAATAAGAAGGAGCTCTGGTAAAGGACTAGGTAGGTGATATTTCAGACCATAGATTTCTACCAAACCTGCCAAACCTGCTGTAGCTGCTCAGGCCCCTCCTCGTATGCTGGTGTTGCATGAAATCGGTTTAAACAATGTAAGCAAACAGATATGGCTTTGTGCCAATTAAACTATAGACCCACAAGATCATCACATCCAAATGGCTGTTATTTTTCTCCCCTTCTTATTTTTTAAAGCTATTTGAAAACATAATATCTATATCCACTCTTCTTCGCTGAGGACTGAGTTGGCCTGTGTGTTGAACCACATGCCAGGGCCTGCATGGTTGAGGTCAGGGACCTTGTGGCCACAGTGTGCATTTGGGGTCTCACTCTACCAGTGCCTCCAGCCCAGGCCCTTGGTCCTGGTACATAGTCAGTTGCAAGGACATTTATCTTACTGTGAAGTCTCCATGCAGTGTCACTCGAACAAGAAAAGCAACAAGATTTTGGATATCCACGGTGTTTTGTAGGAATTTTATTAGCTAAATGGATCTTTCATGACGCTCAGTAGCAGGAACTAGTTACCCAGTCAGCTGCCTTTATCTTACGGGATAGACATCTCAGGAGAGACAGGCTTGTTCCTTGGTGGAGCAGCCAGGAGAATTCTGACTGGCACTTCCCACTTAGTAAGCAGGGGTGGTCCTGTGAAGGGCTACCAGGGCTTTTAAAGGTGGACTAGGTAGCAACATGTAAAGATGGCCCGAGAGATGGGCACATCAGGCTGTGTTCTGGATGTCCCTGTGGGGGGCTTCCTGAGGAGTTTCCAGCAGGACCGGGGCCTGGAGAGCCCTGACGCTCTGCCTGGGGTGCTGCCACAGGACCATCGCGTTGAATGAGCCCTCCCGAGAGAGGCCACCCTGATGAAGGGTCTCTCAAAGCAGGGGTGCTGTGACCCAGGAGCATTGCTCTCCCTACTCGGACTGGGCATGTCCCCTGTTCCTAAGATGTGTGGAAAGGCTCCCTGCCCTTCCTCCGGCTGCTCAGGCCCCTCCTCGCAGAGCACGTTGTTCTCCTGTTGGTCCCCAGGCTGTCCTTCAGGTGGGGTGCTCTTGCCTGGGACCGGGAAGGAACTGACTGGGAGACCATCCTGATGCCCTAGGCTAGTCGGGACTCTGAGGCAGAGGCTGCTTGGCTGCCCCTCCCTCCTCCTGAGCTCCTGGTGCAGACCTAGTAGTGGGGTTGCCCCTGTCCCAGTCATCGTCACAGAATAAGAATTCCTTGGAGTCTCACCGAGGCAGATGCTGCTATGTGGGGGCTGGGGAAATACTGTCTCAGGTACACACCCTGCCCTGCCCTCCCTGTGCCCGCATCCTGTGTTGTGTGAATACGCAGTCAGCTCTGAGGAGGTGACCCTGTGTGTCCAGAACTGTGAAGGAACAGCCCCAAGGGCTGATGTGAGGAGGAGGGTGGAGGAACAGGCTGCTGGGACACCTTGCCCCTGCAGGTGGGACACAGGCAGGGCACCTTTGCATTTCTCTGTCTGGAAAGTGCAGGTGAGGATGGGAGTCAACCGCGTGTTGCATGATGGAGTCACAGAACTGCCAGTCTCCTGCCAGGTTCCTTTGGAAGGACCATGGGTCAAAGGGAAATTTACTCCGTAGAAGTGCCTTGTCTGCAGTTATTTAATGCACTGCTCAAATAAAGATTAAAAATATACTCGGCTGGATCAAAAAGTGTTTTTCAAGATCCCTTTTTAAATAGTGAATTTTCTGTTTTATCAAGTCTTTTAAGCTGAAACCACGGTTGTGAGTTCCATGGAGTTTTCTATGACTTCTTTCCCCCATAGGGTTCCGCCCAACTGTCACGTACTCATTGTGGCTCCACAGACTGTACTGAGCACCTCAAGCTGGGGGGATGCCTTATGCAATGGCATCTGCCAGCATTGTTTTTGAAGAGGCAGCAGTTCACCATCTTGTCTGGGCTAAGTAGAAGGTGGCCACTAGTCATGAAGACCCACACTGTGTTTCAGAAAATTAATTCTGGGGAGAGGCCAGCTTCAGTTCGTCTCCTCACTGAACTGGGGGACATGCTCTTGGCTAAAGGAAGCGGCCACCTGGAGTAGATGGGAGTAAGAGGGTTCTAGTTTCCCTTCACGGCCCCACAGGGAGGGGAGGATGGTTCTGCTGTGTACTTAGTCTCCAGACTCGCAGGCCGTACACCTGCTGCTGGCTGACAGCTGGGCTCTGCAGTGAGCTAGGCTTAGGCCCCAGAGCCCGCTGTAGGCAGCACAGACACATCGCCCCTCCCAGTCCTGCGCCCTCCGCAGCACACCAGTGCTCAACCTTGCTCACAAGATTTGGTGGGGGTTTGTTTTTTACCACTGCCAACTGAAAAAATTTCATGAAACTATCTTTTTTTTTAAATTTTTTTGTTTTGTCCTGTTTCATTTTCTTTTAAAAATCTACATTGTGACATAAGTTGAGTTTATGGTTCCTGATGGATCACAGGCCACAGTTTGGAAAATGCTATATGGGATGACTTCAGGGTTTTTACTGCTCTCCTAATCCTCGCCCTTGGGGACTCTGGGCGAGGTCCTGTGCCTTGATTTCCTCAGGATTAAGAGGGAGCTGTGAGTACCTCTTCACAGGACTGTTAACACCAGACGAGAACGCGTCTAGGCGGGCGCTAAGGACACGTGGGTGCTCGTGTTTTGTTTCTGTGTTTTTTAGGAGGGTAGTCTCCGCTGGGAATGAGCCCAGGGCCTCTCCTGTGCTCTGCTCCTGCTCTTCTGAGCCACACCCCCAGCTGACATACCCCTGGTGTCCGTGACATTTTCTCATCTGGTCTGAAACCATAGTTTGTGATTTAACTGAAACAACACTGATGTCAGCTCTGTTATGCCTTTTAAGTGAGGATGAGCATAGCATAAGAGGGAGAAAAACCATACGCCCAGTTGTGAGCTATGGATTCTGTCCACAGTTACTCCTAATAGCGACCTGCTGTTGGAGTCACTCTGCATGTGGCCTCAGAATTCCTGGTCTGGGGCTTAGTGGCTAAATCCAGGTTTTCCACTTCAGCATTCTTGACATCTGGGTGAATCTTCACAGAGGGCCGTTCTGTGCACTGGTCAGCGCCTCTGGCTTCTCTGCCCATGAACTGCCAGTAGCGGGTCCCTCCCTTCCCCCGCTGGGGCACTTGGAAGTGTCTCTAGGTGTTGCCAATACCCTTTGGGTGGGCAGAGTCTCCCAGTTAGAACCACTGCCCATTGTGAAGCCGCGGATTGGGAAA